AGGATACCTCTATGACTGGTGCTAAGGATGTTGCCACTCCGATGGTAGCGGAGGACTTACGTCTCACTCCTTCGTCCTCCACAGTGGTGGAGGCAACGGCCTACCGGCGTGTCATAGGAAGGATGCAATATCTTTCTCTCACACGTCCAGATGTAGCATTTGCCGTGAACAAGTTGTCTCAAGTTATGCATGCCCCTACTCAAGTTCATTGGTCGGCCCTACGATGCCTTTTGCGCTACCTCAAGGGTACTATTTTTCATGGCTTATTTCTGTCCAAAAATGTTTCTATGCAATTAACTGCCTTCTCCGATGCTGATTGGGGTGGCCTCTCTGATCATGGCCGTTCCATGACAGCATATGTTCTCTATCTGGGTCCGAATATCATCTCGTGGAAATCTATTCGCCAGAAAAGTGTCTCGCGCTCATCCACAGAAGCTGAATATCGTGCACTTGCTAATGCTGTTGCCGAATTACAATGGGTGCAAAATCTTCTGACAGAACTTCGACAACCACTCTCAGTGCCACCTCATATTTTTTGTGACAACATCAGTGCTATTCATGTGTGCAAAAATCCAGTTTTTCATTCTCGTATGAAGCATCTTGCCCTTGATTATTTTTTTGTCCGAGAACTGGTGGCAGATAAAAGACTTTGGGTGTCTCATGTGCGCACTACTGAACAACTGGCAGATATTCTCACCAAGCCCCTTGCTCGGGCCTTGTTTGCAAAGTTTCGGTCCAAGATTGGCGTATCTGACGGATCCTCCATCTTGCGGGGGCGTGTTAAGGATAAATAAATAATCTTTATTATTTATTTATTATCTCAATTAAGGATACTGAATATCTATTATATTCATTACATGATTTGTAACTCCTCATATTATTCCCCATATCACTCCTTCCATATATGTATTGTAACTCCCTAATCTTTAGGCTAACCTTATGGCTTATGATTACTTCTCCTAATTGTAACTACTATAAAGTGTAATACCTTTTGTCAATAATACAATGAATCATTCCTTCATATATTGAATTTCATTTTTTGAATTTTGGCACTGTTTGGCATCAGCGTTAGAGATTAATGTTAGCATTTTGGAAAAGATATCTGACAGTTGCTTTTAGCATTTGCATTTTCCGAATTAATTTACACAGTTAATATTTTATCCAAAAAGCTATCTGACACTAGCTTTTAGTGTTAGCATTTAACGAATTAATCTACACAGTTAATATTTTATTCAAAAACTATTTGACAGTAGCTTTTAACGTTAGCGTTCTCATACTCTCGTATCTCACAAGGCACAACTAATGATCGGCCGGAAACACTTCCTCCATCATACTTTTTTTGTCGAAATATTTGCACTTAATAACACTAAAACTTAAGTCATTTCTCTAAATAGCACCTAAATTGTTTTAATCCCTAAATAGCACTTAATAATGTCTATAATGTCCAGTGATAGTGAATATTTGCTTGAATAATGACTAATGCATAATGACTAAAAGTGCTACATTGGGAAGAAAAACACATGTGGTGCTAAAATATAAGTCATTTTCTAATGTAGGATTTAAACTTTTTTATTCCCTAAATAGGATTAAATAGGACTTAATAATGACTAGTAAGAAGAATAATGTCCAAATGATGCTGGACATTTAGTTGAATAATGACTAATTGATAATGACCAATGCACCTACATTGGGAAATAAAAACATATGGTCCTATATTGAGAAAGTCCTTATGTTTTAGTCCTATTTAGGTAAATTACCCATGTAACTTTTACATCATGCCAAAGTTTGAATTATTTATTTTCCATTGCATTTTGGACTTGAACTGCCAACAAAAAGAACATGCAACTTTTTTTTGTGAGGCTAATATTAATGTCTTTGCAAACACTTCTCTTGTGCAGGTGAAAGAACCCAACTGAAGAGAAGAAACAAAGGGGTAAAAACAAAAGGTAAAGGGTGCTAAGAACAAAAAACATTTGCTTTAAATTTTAAAGAGGAAAAAAGTGGGACGTCTCATCTTTGGTGGGATTATATCATCCCCATACATTTCAAGCCCCCCCATATGTATGCATGTATGCATGAATGCATGCACACACATATATGTATATATAGTCATGCGAATAAATAGTCCTTAATTTGTGGGATTTCATAAGTGGATAAGTAGTCCGGAAATTTTAAAACTTACGAAATAGTCCCTATGGTAAAAAAATCATTGCATAATTAGTCTTTTTTTAAGGAAAACATGAAGCATGCAAAATACGCGCATACTATTCGAAACGTGAAGCGTGTAACAAAATAAAGAAGCTAATTTGATGAAATTGTCCTCGTCTTCGTGGTTAAAAGCATGGAAGTGGCTTCTTCCACCTCGATCTTATACCATAGTACACTACCCTAGAATAAAGTTACTTAGCTTAAGGAATGGAATAATGTCAAGCTCATTTAGAACATTGTACTAATATTTAAGACAGTCACTATGGAAGACATAAAGAAGTTGTGAAAACTGAACCAAAAGATAAAGGACTTTATACTACAGTCCTAGCATACACATCACATGTTTCATATCTTCGCATAATAGACATGTGTCTTGCGTGCTTCACATTCTAATGATTTAAAAAAAAATTCTATTCTGAGAAATATAATATTGAATTATCAAAAATAATGCAGAGTATTGATCAAGAAAGAAATTGCAATACAAAAAAATTGTAGTAAGTTATAAAATTTGTTAGTGCCGTTTTGGAGAAAAAAAATATTGTGCTATTTTCACAACTTTTTAATTACAATTTTAGGGAAAACTTTATACTGAATTATCAAAAAATCAAAAAATTAGGTAATTCTATTTTAGAAAAAATAATATACGCAATTGAATATTTTCAATAAATATTTCGGAGTGTTGTCATGAAAAAAATTGCAATACAACAGAAAATGTAGTGAGCTATAAAAATAAAATTTCCATTTTAGAGAAAAAATTGTTGTGTTATTTTCACAATTATTGTAATGTTGTTTCACAAAAAATATTTATATAGAACTATTGAAAAATATTCACAATTTTTGTAGTGCTATTTTTAAGAAATAATAATGATATAATATAAAAAATAATTCGAAGTGCCACTTAAGAAAAATAATTGCAACTTTCAAAAAAAATGTAGTGAGTTATGAAGTAAATAAATTAACTCTATTTTGTAGAATAATTTATTTTTTTAATTATTGAAAAAAATAATTAGTTTCACTCTAAAAAACACTTAAATTTGATATAATTTTTGCAATTTTTAAATAAATTTGAATTTTTATTTACAAATTAAAAAATGAAAAAAGAAAATTTACTAAGATAATCTCACCTTTCATTTATTTGCAAAAAACAAGCATTTTTCAAAAATTCCGTTAAGTAACCTTAGTTTTTTAACGGCGACCCAAAACTTGCACACAAGAGAAAAGATGGGATTATTTCCGGTGACAATGAAAAGTGAGATTATTTTTGAAAGAGCACGAAAAGGTGAGATTATTTGAGATAACTTTTTCTTTATTCAATGTAATTTTTTTAATTTAATGATTAACCTTATACTATTACATAATTCAAGGGTCGGGGGTGTGTTCGGGTCGGGGCGGGGTGGGGGGGGGGTTTACCGAGGGGGTTAGGGGCGGTAGGAACCGTCAATTTTACGAACGGAGCACCAGAGCGCACCCGGGTCATGGGAACCTTGCCCATTAAAGTTATACTTTTTTTCTTAAAAAAATTTACTTTTTTAAATCTGGACCAAGTTAAGATTTATACTGAAAAAAATATATTGTAAATTAACTAATAATCTATTTTTGTTCAACTTTTTCTTCTTTCTAAAAATTATTGTCAAACTCAACAATAAATTTTTTGATCTAATTTTTAAATATTATATTAAATGTATGTGAAATTGATATAGAGGTGAAGTAAGTATCTTATCGATCGTTATAAGTTACATTGTAAATGAAGAGAAACTTTTATTAGTTTTAAGTTTAGTAGTCAATATAATTTTTGAAGGAATATTATATTTATTTTATATTAAATAAAGTTATTATAATAATAATTAGATCAAAATGTTATTACTAAATGTTAAAATTCCTCATTTTGGTTTAGTTTGTTTTAATTTATTTTTATTTTTCTATAAAAATGATTTGATTTCCTTTTTATTCAATTGACTGATTTTTAAGCTTAATTGGAATCCGAGCAAAATATTATAGTAAAAATGTTACTGGAAATTTTGTTAGTTAAAAAAGAAAATTTTCTTTTTTCCATTAATCATTTTATTTTATGCAATACTATATTTATATTTCACTAATTTTATTATGTTACAATTTTTATGTTACGGAGTATTATATTACGGAGTATAAATTAGTTAAAGGAAATTTGGAGCCAATGCTCTTGCTGACATGTCTATTGAAGTGTTAAAAAAAATATCCAGTCAGCATGCCAATGAAACTCCAACTCCCCTCTTTTATACTTCCTCCGTCCCAAATTATTTGCCACATTTGATTTTTCAACAGTCGCGGGAACTTTTGTTTATTTCTACGTTTTCATTGGTTATTTGATAAAATAAAATATTCTTGACACCTCTTATTTCGAAGAACTTTTTATGTAGTTTTTTGTTATGTAATTTTTATTTTTTTTACCAATATGTAAATAAAATGAATTTAAAAAAATTGATATCTCGATAATAGAAATGTGACAAATAATTTGGAACGGAGAGAGTATATAAAGATTTGCAATAAAATTATAAAATAAGTTAAAACTAATCTAACAAAAAGAAAAGTTTTAAAGTCTCAAGCTTTCACGGAATTCACGGGTATAGGAGTGTTCTAGGAGCACATAGATACATTGACCTCAAATTGACTTGAAAAGCGGGTGTCCCTCGTGGCCTATCCCAAATAATAATATTTGAGCATTTGTCTCCCATCCCCTTCCCCACCACATATATTTATTTAATTTTTAATTATTTATTTATTTTTAAATTTTTTGCCCAAATGGGACAAATGGTAATAATTCCACCTCCACGTCCGCACGCAATATAGGGGATTCATTTCTCAAACCGCCCGAGTCGATCCTTCATCGCTCTATCTCGGTAATTTCGTCTCCGATCACATCTCCGATCATTGTGATATATGTAACTCTCCCATCATTCCGTTTCCCCTTTGTTAATTTTTCTGCGTCGATTGTTTCTAACGCTATTATTGTTAATTTGTTCATTGTGGATGCCTTTGTTGCAGTTCTTTTGTTGTTATCAACGTCATCGCCATCACCTGTGTTTTAGTTTTAGTATTCTGTAAGAATGAATCATTTCTGCCTGGAAATTATAATATTCCTTGCATGTTTAGCTTTTTCATAGCGCCCGGTCTCACTGTGTTTGGTGCATAAATCATAATATGGTATGATTGTTTCTAACGCTGTTATTGTTAATTTGTTCATTGTGGATGCCCTTGTTGCAGTTCTTTTGTTGTTATCAACGTCATCGCCATCACCTGTGTTTTAGTTTTAGTATTCTGTAAGAATGAATCATTTCTGCCTGGAAATTATAATATTCCTTGCATGTTTAGCTTTTTCATAGCGCCCGGTCTCACTGTGTTTGGTGCATAAATCATAATATAGTATGAGTTGAAAACGCCAGAAAAACAGGGGAGGGCTGGTGGTGGAAAGCAGGATGGACGGAGGTGCCGGACTGCTGGCTACAGAGGCGGACTTGCTTTTTGAATGGAGCTTTTCTCATCCAAATACTGATACCCACAAAACTTAACCAAACAGGGCATTAAATCTCTTCTCCATATGAATTATGGCAGGAGTGCTATGAATGTGAACAATGACCTTACTGGAGGTAGAAATTTAAGACTGAATAGATATACGAATTTGGAAGATTGACCTGCTAGACCGTTTACATATGTGTTTCGGAAATGATTAATTAATCATACCCACTTATGATATAATTTGGAAATAGAAGAATGTGAGTTCACATAAAATTGGTTCAAACACTGGCCTGCCATTGAATTGGGATCGAGGCTTTGTTGTTGTACTTGCCCACCAGTTTATCTTTTACGTTGGTTGTGAGTGAATTTTGGTATGATGGCATGGGGAGTCTTGAATGTGGCAAAAGTTCAAGAAACGAGTCTGAAGTTGGTGGATATGAGGGCTTGGAAGAGTAGTGCAAATGGTATGTTGGGGTAGGCCTGCAAACGCCTAGAGGCCTTGTGGTAGAATAAAAAGGAGCAAGGGAAAGTGGAAGCTAAGAATGTCGTGTATTTTGTGCTAGTGGATAGCATATACTGGGTGGAGAAGGGAGAAAAAATGAGAGGTATTAAGAAGTCAAGCACAACTAGTAGTCTTTGCGGCCAAAAAGATTCTTTTGAGCACTTGTATGAAGAGATTGATTGCAACAGGGAAGACAGAAAGTTGTATAGGCTTGCTGAGGCAAGAGAGAAAAATGTGTGATCTGGACCAAGTGAAGTGCATTAAGGTAAAAAAAAATAAAAATGGTGTACTGTGGTTGCAGATGCTTGTATTAGACGAAGATGGCAGACACATTTCCATGAACACTTGAATAAAGGAGGGGATATTGTGCTAGGGGGAGTTGGGCAGTGTTTGAAAGTTAGAGGGGGTTGATTATTTTAGGCACTTAAAGACTACAGAGGTTAGGGGGCTATTTGTAACTTGAAGAGGGGAAAAGCATTTGTGTAGATGAAATCCAGCTCACTGTTGGAAGGACTTGGGAGAGACAAAAATAGAGTGACCGCCTGACCGGCTACTTGTTTAATGTCATATTGTCATGTTCAAAACGACTACAATGCCAGAGGAGTGGAAGTGTCATACAATGGTCCCGACTCCCAATGTATAAGAATAAGGGTGATGTTCAAAAGCACAACTATAGTGTATCGAATTGTTAAGTCACACAATGAAGATCTGGGATGACAAGGGATCTGTGTAAGTCAATGAACCGGTTCAAATATTTCTCGAGTCAGCCAACAATAAAAGTTGTTCATCTTGTCATGAGGTTAAAAAAAGTAACATAGGGATACAAAGCGAGACTTACACACATGATGTTCATTGACCTTGAAAACGCGCATGATGAAGTCCCAAGGGTGTCCTTTGGAGATGTTTGAATATGAGAGGTGTGCTTGTGGCTTACATAACAACAATTAGGGACATGTATAAGGGCATTAAGACTTGAGTTACGACAATGGAAGGGGATTTTAGGACTTTCTCGTCCTGATGAGGACATGGGATTGGACTAAAGATAAAACCTTAGCCCATCTTTATTTGCCTTAATGATGGATGAATAAATGCGGCATATCTAGGAGCACTTGTTACGGATGTATGCTATTTGCGGGTGACGTAGTTTTGATTGACGACTCACACAGTTGGTTTAAGGGTAGATTGCAAGTTTAGGGAGCAGACATTGAATCTGAAGGGTTGAATTAATAGTATTTAGAGATGCGAAACGTCTAACTAATGACACCCATGCCTAATTTGATTTTGGAGTCCTTTCCAATTATTGGACCTTAACAACAACAAGTCAACAACAAAGCCTTATATCCCAAGTCACTTGTAGGCTACCTGAACCAAGAAATGAATCATGTTTGATTATACATAGAAATGTTATCTCACCATTGTTTCTATGTATTACCGTACTCTTGTCCATATTCAGATAAGACAAATCCCTCCTAATAATATCCTCTCACGTATTTTTGGGTCCCCTTTCCTCTTTTGCATAATTCATTTGTTAACCCCTCAAGTCTTCTAACCGGTGCATCTCTACTCTCTAGGTCTTCTTGTGATAGAATTTAAGATGGGATAGGGATCACTGGATTGAGCAATAAAACACTTGGGTTGAACCACATTAAAAGATTGAATCCAATCGATTAGTTAGTTCAACTCAAGAGCTTATATACCAATTACTTTACTCTTGAACTTCCGATGTGGGATGACACTCTAACATCTTGCATGTGTCCAAACCACTGTATACGATTCTCACTGAATTAGTCAATTTTTCTTCAATAGTTTCCACCTCTACGTTTTTCTATGATTTCGTTTCTTATTTTATCTGTTCTAGTGTGCTCACACATCCATCCTAATATACACATTTCAATTACTTTCATTTTCATAACATGACACCATTTAGCAGCACAACATTCTATACCACATATGACTGGCTGTTGAATCACCGTTCTTTAAAAATTTTCCTTCAGCAGTTCAGCTTCAAAGGTATATCTCGACTAGAAAGAACTGCAGTTGCACTATCCTTTTGTGGGTATCTAGTACAGTCAAGGGTAGTACTCTTCTTGTAAGGCTACACGCCTAAACCTATCAAGTCTCATTGTTTAATTATCTATATATAGTATCCTTAAATGGAATGTTGTTGTTGTTGTTGTTGTTGTTGTTATTATTATTTTTATTATTATTATTATTATTATTTCCTTTTCCTTAATTGTTATAGTTTCCTATTTGGTTTCCTAGTCATTTTAGGACAGTACTCTTCTTGTAAGGCTACACCTATTTAAGTATTTTTACTCCGCAGTTATTCATAAAATATTATTGCTGAACGAACCTAATTGAGAACTTGTCATGGACATTTTGTCTCACTCAGCCACGAGCAAGGGAACATACACTGGAGCAGGCATACTTCTCCGTTAAGAATCAAGGATTGAAGAATTCAACTGTAATTCATTAAGGTTTTTGAATTTACGAATCTTCTATTTTGCCATAAAATTTCCATTTTGTATATCTGACCAAACCATATGTTTTGATTCTCTGTACAAAGTTTTTCATCTTCTCAAGTGACCGCACATTGGCCAACTTTTGTAACTTGGTAACTGCATATCCTGACTTTGACTTCAGATTCAAGTATGTATATTGGAATTCCACAAACTGTAGTGTTGCTCTACTGCAGGCGGTGTATGGGAAGCATGTCTAAACTTGAGCCCCGAGAATCTGACAAACCATATACCCATTAGTTCCAATAGTCATACAGGTGAAAAGTTTCTTGCTTCATAGATATGTATGAATCTTAAGAAAATGATACATTTACATTTGAAAAACCATAAAGTAACATCTGTCAGCATTAAATTGTTAAATTATTTATGTGCAACATATAATTTGCTATGGTATCAGGATGAGTAAAAGATCCTAGGTTTGAGATTGGCCATTTTCTAATTTGTGTTGTGTTACTAGGTGCTAATAAAGTTGCAACTGTTGTGTAGTAGGGACCAAGCACCAACTATATCATCTTCTAGGCGTGGCATGTGAGAAGGGACTAATCTATAGGTTAAGCACTATCTGCAAACTTAAACTTTACACTAGCTCACACAAATTCTTAGATTTGTCTGTTTCGAATAGGAAATCTAGTATCAGTAAACATGTGATTCAACAGAGATTCATGATTCCAAGTTTTTACATGATATGCGATCGAACACAAGATACCAGATTGGAAGCAATATTAAAAACCTTTATTGCTCAATTCGTTCAAGGAATATGAGAGGGAAAGGAAAAGAAAATGAGAAGGAAAACATTTTTCTTGTTTGGTTAGTGAGGAAAAGAAAAGAAAAGTGGAAGGAAAAGAAAAAGAAAAGGCAAAATGTACTAAGAGGAAGGAAAACCAAATTCCTCCCATTTTGGTGAGGAAAATGAGGGAAAACCATTTTCTTTTTTTTCCTACCAAATTCCTTGAACCAAACATAGTGTTAGTGAAAGAGTGGTGTGCTATGGCATCTTTTGTGTCACCCTCACGGTAAGGAGACTCACACATGCACTCTTATATATTATTAGTACAAGATCACATACTAATGATAATAAAATCTCAAAAGCTACTTATCTACACCATGTTCTCAACTTTTAATGTGTAGAAGTCTGTGCAAGTGTAGAAAATGTGTACTCAACCTATCATTAGATTGCCTTGTGGAAGTTGTGTACAGATTAGCCAAAAAATACATACAATAACAATCAAGAGATTTTGTGCACATAATCCTTAGAACAAGAAGGCAAATTTTCAACCTGCAAATTCTCAATTACATAAAGCAAAAAATCCTAGACCCTGGTCCCTAGCCCTAAGTTATCTACCCATACAATGGAAAGATTAGCATGTGTAGAAATAATCAAATTTGGTATAGTCAAGAGAGGGTGAGATCAAAGAAAATAACTTAAATAATACTTCCTCGCCCCAAAATTAACTTCACACTTTCCTTTTTTGTTAGTCCCAATATCAACTTCCCATTTCCTCTTTTAGGATGCACCTTTTACATGTTTTAAATAAGACTACACTTTTACCCTCAATGACGTGCATATTTACTAGCATTGACTTCGCTCTTACCAAACCCAAAAAGTAAGCTCGAACATTTATATAATTTTCTCCTCTCTTGATCTCCGTGCCATTTTCATATTGGAATATTTTGGGATGGAGTAAATGATTTATCTTCAAAGTTTAAGAGTTTCAACTTAAAAGAGTTTTGAATTCGACAATCTAATGTCTAATCTAGGGATTTCTATTGACATTGAAGAGAGGAAAATGATGTTTGGGCAAAGAAAGACCCTCTGGTTTCTTCTGCAAAATGTTGGTTCTGCATGAATTTGCATCTTAATCACCTGTTGAGAAGTGAATGATTAGAGTCATGGTATGACCTTGCATGTGACCTTCCTAGCTTAGCATCTAGTGCCTGAAATATATCCATTGGCGCTCCTTGCCCTTTGTGTTTTTCAGCCTCTTGCTCTATCTGGTCTCCAAAAAATCCGGTGTCCTGAACTTTCTCAAAGCAACTCTTTAAGCCTCTAAAATGACCCAGGGACACAAAGTCAACTATATATCATATAAAAGTTGCATGGTACACAAACAAGTTAATATATAAGGAAAATGTAAAAATAAGACATCTTTGAACCTTACATGTTGACCCATCATAAAAATGTTTACATGTGTAGCCTATGAAGTATCAACAAAATTTGACCCACACGTCATGGGATATTGATATACCCAAGCTTGGCTCTACACCACAAACCTTCACATGTGTTGCTGAACACACCCTTATATTTATAGCCCACTATATTTATTAAATTCTTACAAAATACACCATATAAAATAAGCCAAGTTTTACTCCTTTACTTGTTGTTTAGCCGAAAAATCAAAAAAGAAAAGCAACCAATAATGTTCACTTTGTTTACCTTGTTTCCTCTTTAATTTTACCTCCACTTTTGAGCCATAATAATCAAATAAACATCATCATCATCTATCATTCTATGCTGGCCGAAATTACCCCTAGGGAAATATGGAAAGGATTCTTGAAGACTAATGCTACTCTATTAAAATCACTTTTTGGAATAATAAAAGCATGACAAATACTCTTCAATTTTTCATAGTTTTTCTTCATCAGTAAAAGTAATGTTTCTCCCTGTTCCTCTATGGCCCTATATATTTCAGCCAAATGGCCATTGTAATGTATATGTTGAAATGACGTTTAAATCAAGTTAATACTCTTCGAGTGTTTTCTCCTAATATGTATGATGCTTGTTCAAACAAATTTCCAATTTCTATATCTTAAGAGTGGTTCTGGGTGTTACGCTCTAGTTATTTAATTAAGAGTGATTCTTGATTAAATTCTAGAGTTAACC